TCGCCTCCCAATAGTCTTTGACTTCACAAATTCAAGGATTTTTGTCAATTGCCCTCTGTGTTCCATATTCCCGTGATCACCGCAAGGACAGACTGAAAAAAGAGACCAAGAGGAGAATAAGAAGGCCTTCAAAGAAAGGCCAACGGGAAGGATGCCTGGCTGATTACCTAGGATATAAAGCAGAGCCTGCACGTAATTGGCTGGCTTTTCAGCAGAATTTCAAGAAGCAAACAGCCCCTGGCAATGACAGAGAGTGTGTGCGCTAAGTACTGGGGGCACCCCTTCCTTTGTTTTTTTATTATCTTCTACTGCCCAGCAGGAGATTGAGCTGAGAATGGTTTTCGGGAAGTTGCTCTTCAGCGGCTTTGTCCTGATTCACCTCCAATCCTCCTCCTTATCCCAGTTAAGCCCATCTGAAAAGCTGACAGCCCCACAGCATCTCTCTACTGCAGCATCCAGGCCTGCTGATCCTTCTCTTCCCACCGTTACACACACACACACTCTCCCTCTCTCACACATACTCACACCTGCACACTCACTAGCTGTAGAAATTAACATAGAAACGGCCCCCACAGAAACTTGCTGGGTGCCCAAGCAGAGTTCATACAACCACATTCAAATTCCTGTTCAGGTGCCTCACTCTGCCCTCCACCTTGGCCAGGGATCCTACTGAGCTCCTGCGTCACAGGCTGAACGTTACAGTGTTGATGTTTTCACTTATAATTATCTGAGGCCCCAGCATTAGGAAGCCCCCTCTACAGGTGGAGAAGTGCAGAGAGGGCAATTACTTGCCCAGAGTCACACAGCAGCTCAGGGGCAGTGCTGGGATTTAGATCTCAACTCCCCGATAGTCAGTCCCTGGCTTGCCCCAACCAAGACACTGCCAGGCCTGGGGCTGGCTCTAGTTTTGCAAGAGGAGCAGGAAATGACGCGAGGTTTCATCTAATTTCAGTAGAGACTTCAAAAAAAGTAAAAAATAAAAAAGAAAGAAAAAGAAAACGGCAAAGATGCACCTCTAAACTCCCAGATACTCCCTCAAACCCAGCTAACCTGGCAGGTTCAAAGTCAGGCCTGTTGTCTTCACTCCAAGCCCTTGCTGGAATTCCAACAAATGAGTAGGCTTTGAAGGTCAGGCTGGGCAAGTACTTTACATAGGCAAAAAACAATAGTCCAGCCCTATTTTTAGATGAGGCGTTTGAAGAATGCAGTCCCTCATCTCGGATATGCTTATTAAGTTACTCCTCTAAGTAAATTCCAAAAGAGATAACTGTCCTTTTAGACTCAACGGCAAGCTAAAAAACAAGCACATACCCTAGGATGTCTGCCTTCCAGGGCAGAGTGAATGCTTCTTTGCCTATAAATGATGACATCCTTCTTCTTTTAGTATTAAATTTCTGCAAATTTAGGGGCCCTGTGATTTCTTGGTTGCAGAATGAGTCATCCATTACTTAGGACCTGAGGCAGAGGAAATTTCTCTGTAGACTGGGGATGGGAGTGGATGGGTCAGGGGTACACATTCATTTCACACAACTTCCTTGTCTGAGCTTAAATCTGGAGGAGGTGTGAATTCTGGGTGCTGCATTTGTTTAAAAAAAAAAAAAAAACAGACACAGAGTAATGCCACATCCAAATCGGGTCATGGCAAAACTGTGCCTCGTGACCACCTCCTTTTTTTACTTCTGTGCTTTACCCCCTGTCTTTTAAAGTCAAAATTTCACTTCTAAAATGGGATTGGCAGGGTATGCAGAGGCAGAGTGCCGGCATCTCTTTCCTTAAGAGTTACCACGTCTGTCTGTCAACAAGCCCGCAGATCTAGGGACAATGAAAGAAGCTTCTAGAGAAGAAATAATGTGGAAGAGAAAAGAGCCACATGTCTATCTCTAAACAGGATGGCAGAAGACAGCCCTGAGAGAGAAGAGGAGTACCCAGAAATACCGTGTGGCTTTCTAGGGGGAAATCTGCTATTTCTACTGGCCCAGCATCCATGATCCTTGCTTTTGATAAATGCATCTCATTTTCTACTGAGGCAGCAACCATAGAGATTTGTCACTCAGGCCTGGTCGGTCCTGAACATCTCTGGGGGTGGAGGTGGACCAAGCCAGGCCCACTGTATCCACAAGCATTGGCCCCAGGACTTCAGTGGCAGCCACAGGGAAGGAGAAGCCCTCTCTCCACTTGCTGGCCAAGTTGGCAGGACATGAGCACACCTGGGCCCAGTCCTGTCCCAGCTTCCCAGGAACATGAACAATAAACACCCTCTTTGCTTAAGCCAGTCTAAGTTGGATTTCTAAATCTTGCAATCACAAGTACCAACTTATCTTCACTTAAAAGAAAAGTGATTGTGTGAATTATATTTTCTATATTCATCATTTCCAGATGGGGACAATGAAGTCCAGAGCTTTTGGAGGCCATCCAAGGCACACAATAAACCTAGACACTGAGACAGGACCACGAGGCAGACCTCACATCATCTAGGCACTGCCCAGCATCTACTCTGTTCTCTGGCATGCAGTGTAAATGAGGAAATCTGCCTGACACCCTTCCAACTCACAGGGATTAACAGTTGTGTAGTTTTATCCAAACACAGATACTGTCTAAAGAGAGAACACTCACCAACTACACCTTCACATTTATGAATAATCAAGAGAGCAAATATGTGATTCAGAAAGCTCCAGAATACAAGTGCTGTTGCCTGGCAGGACCTGCTTATGAAAGTTGTATTGATTTATGGTGAGCTGAGTGACAAAATGACAGACACATCATATTTTGAAATGACTAATGTGCTCAAGAAACTAACTAGAAGGGCATCAAAATTGCAGAGGGGGTCATGGAGAGCCACGCGTGACTGAGTCCTGAAGCACCAACTGTCCAAGCAAAGCCTCTGGGGAAGATTCCTGGGTCCTGTACGGCATGACCTGGCTGAGTAACCACCTGGAAAATAGGCTTTTGGAGGCAGCAGAAATTCCTTCCCTCGTACCCTGCACAGGGCAGCTGGGCGCAGCTTCCAGGAGCCCCTACACAAATGTAAGCAGTTCAAGCTGAAACAGCTGCCTGCAGAACTGGCCTGAAGCCCCTGTGTTCCAGGACTGGGCTGCCTGGCTGACAAATTTGATTGTGATTTTGGGTCCAAGCCTGCCTGATCCACACCACAGTTAGTCACGGCTGAGGCCTGGTTAGAGAGCGTCCTTAAAAGGACTGGAAGGAAAGAGGTAGCATCTTTCCAAAACAAAATTGATGAAAACACAGTGCACAAAATGAGGTGAAGATGTCCATTTATCCCCCAGTGTGGCGACAGAACGGTTAACCATAGGGCTTAGGCAGACAATTTTCTTCTGCATAACAACAAAATAATCAGAATGTCCCCAATAAGCAAATCGGTATGGCTTACCTTGTGTTTGGCCCTCCCCTCCCCACCACAGTGATATTTACTGGCAAAGGCTTCCCAGGCCAAAAATGAATTTCTAAACCAAAATGCCTACTGCACACTTTAAACAGAAATAAGAGAAGGCTGGAGATCTCAACCTTAAAAAGAGGTCTGGGTGGTACCAGAGGGACATTTTGGGTAGTTACCAAAATGTGATCATGGTATTCACTGACAACTGCCAAGAAAGACATGATGGGGCAAGCGAGGTGGTGACGGGGTTGTGCTTTGGCGGTGGAATCTCAGGCAACTCCCACAGGCAAATGAGCTCTCAGTCACTGATGGAGTGAGTGGCTCTGTGTTACAGCTTCACATGCCCTGGACTGGGAAGCTCACGCAGTCCTTGCCGACAGGGCTGTGGAGAGCTGGCTTCAGAGCAGCCACTGTGAACCCAAGGCACAGGAGGAGGGCTCACAGGAAGTGTTCCCCACACCCACAGGGACCGTGGCCAGGCTGCTGAGGAGATGCCAAGTTTATCCCAGAAGGCGTGGTCAGACCTTCCTGAGAAGGGCCCCGGCTCCTCTTCTACCAAGTATCAGACTCCTCATCACTTCCCGCGGCCCAGCCCTAGTGCCCAGGACCACAGGCACAGACCCCATCTGTGTAGCTGTGAGCCTGGCCCATGACACAAGCAATGGGACACTTTCAGTATGCTTAATCCCAAAGTAAATAATCTCCAATTCAAGAAAGTTTTAGCGTCTCAACGAGAGGGAGGTGAAAACCTGAACAGAATTCCCAAGAAGGGCGAAAAGAGGAATGAATGATTTTGCTTACTGAGCACATACGTACTACACATGAGTGTACCTCATTCTAAACAGACAGGACCTAAAAACCTTAATGTAAGAACTGAGGGAGTTATATTTAATTGTTCAGTATTTTAAAGATACTAAAAGAATACTTCTTTTTTTTTGGTAGAGTCGGGGTTTTGCCATGTTGGCCAGGCTGGTCTCAAGCTCCTGGGTTCAAGCGCTCCTCCCACCTTGGCTTCCCAAAGTGCTGGGATTGTAGGTGTGAGACAATGCCCCTGGCCTACAAGCATATAATTTCATTAAACACAAGTCCTCCTTCTTCCCGCAGTGTGCAGAAAGCAAATTATAACCCCAGGTTATCGGGAATAATTGTATCGGCAATGAGGTTAAAGATAATAATTCCACGCTGCTCCTACTGTCATAATAGTGACGGATACTTCTGCAGCGTCCAATCCTTTGCAGCATTTAACATGGGGCCAGGCACTGTTTGGAGCACATTGCACATATTCATACATTTAATTATTGTATGAACACTACAAAGTGGGTACTATTTGTCACTCGCCTTTTCCAGGTGAGGAAACCTGGCCCCAGGTCACACATCCCATGAGGGTGGAACTTGCACTGGAGCTGCATATGACACACACCCACAGCAGCCTCCGAGTGGCAGGGCTGTATAGAATGAGGTACGCCGGTGTGAGGAAGGAACCGAATCACTGGCTAGACACTGGGGGGAGCAGAAGTCGGGGTGGAGAGGGCACAGGTGGCAGCCTCGCTGGCGGGCAGGCTGGCTGGCGGCGCAGGCGCAGGGCGGCGTTCACGGGGACACTCACCTTCACTCTCCCCACTCGTCTTGCTGCCTTTTGAACCACCCTCTGTACCTTTAGCCTTCTCGGCGTCTTCTTGGGCATCCTCAGCGGGCCCTTTCTCCTCATCTTCTTCTTCCCCAACGTTTTTGTAGTTGGGTCTCTTTTGCACCCGTCTCTTGCCCTTGTGCTTGTTCATCTCAAGGGACCGCTCGAGCGTCTCGGTGGGTTTAATGAAGCACCGAATGCTGGGCTTGGCCTACGGAAGTCCAACAAAGGCAACAGGTGAATTCAAACACTGGAATCCTGCTGGATGCTATCAAGTTGCCCAAAAGTTTCTGTCCTAAGAAACTAATCTCCAAAAGCAACCACTCTATCAAAAGATGGCTGCATTCGCATGTTTACTATAGTGGCACTATTCACAACAGCAAAGACATGGAATCAGCCTAAGCGTCCACCCACAGAGGACTGGATAAAGAAAATGACTTGTATATACATAATGGCATAGTATACAGCCCTAAAAAATTAGGAAACCATGTCTTTTGCAGCAACATGGGGACCATTATCTTAAGTGACATAACTCAGACACTTACTGCATATTCTCATAAGCAGGAGCTAAATAATATGTGCACATGGCAGCAGAGTGTGGGATGATGGACAACAAGACTGGGAGGGGTGGTGGAGTCGGAAGGGGTGGATGATGGGAGGGTGCTGGGCGGGTCCAGTGTGCATTACTCCAGTGATGGATGCACTGAAGGTCATCACTTCACCGCAATGCAATTCAACAACCTGGCAAACCTGCCTTTTTACCCCACGAATACAGACAATAAAAACATCTTTTAATACAGGCAATTAATCTCCAAAACAAATGCCACCTCCAGATCTATTATTATGCCCATTATTAACATCATCATCAAACAACCAAAACAACAGTGCCAGCTACCATTTCCTGCCGACTGTCCTGAGCCAGAAATGGTACATTTTACCAGCAGCAGCTCTGCACTCCCCAAACGTTAACTGTTTGTGTAAGGAAAACACTTCTGATGAACACTTCTATGGTACTTTCTTATGTGCCAGACACTGTTCTAAGGCTCTGACTGATCTCGTTTGAACTTTACCGCAACTCTATTAGATATTACCACGTCATCCTCATTTTACAGGTGAAGAAACTGAAGCACAGACAGAAAAGACAGAAACTGAAGCACAGACAGAAAGGGATCTGCCTGAGGTCACACAGCCAGGAGGTGGCAGAGCTGGGATTCAAAACCACGTACCAGCCACACAAGCTGTGTCTTTGCTATAGCACACTGATATTATTGATTTTAACCCAAATAAGTTCATTTTAAACAAAACTATCACTACAGGAAATGGAACACTAGTGTGCCTTACTATTATATTAGATGCAGACAAATAACCAGAAAGAAAAAGCCAGGTGTAGAGGGTGCAGTCAAATTCTAGGTACTTAATAGGCTCTTACTAGAAATGGAGCCTAGTAAGTATCAGCAATAAGTAAAAGATCAGCTCGCCCCAAATAATGAAGTTTTTCCTTAAATAGAAGTCAGAGATGGCTAGGTGTAGTGGCTTATGTCTCTAATCCCAGCATTTTTCGGGGCTGAGGCAGGAAGACTGCTTGAGGCCAGGAGGTCAAGGCGTCAGTGAGCGGAGCCCACGCCACTACACTCCAGCCTGGGTGAAAGAATGGGGCCAGTGCCAACTATCTCAGTCTTTGTAATAACCACAATATACAGGAACGATCAGTCCCAGTTTATCGTTGAGAAAATAGAGATGCAGAAGGTTAAATAACTTGTCCAATGTCACACAGCTACTGAGTTGAAGTCCGAATTTGCATTGGGACTTCCTGGGGCTTGCCAATTTCAAAGCTCACACTCTTCCTAAAGTAACAGTGTTTCACCAGAAGCTCAAACTTGGTTCCACATGTAATACTCTTTAAAGAGGAATGTCAGGTATGGTAGCTCAAACCTGTAATCCCAGCACTTTGGGAGACCCAGATGGGAGGATCACTTGAGCTAAGGATTTCAAGTACAGCCTAGGTAACATGCAGAAACCCCATCTCTACAAAAAATAGAAAAATTCGCTGGGCATGTTGGTGGGCACATGTAGTTCCAGCTACTCGGGAGGCTGAGGTAGGAGGATTGCTTGAGCCCAGGAGGCAGAGGCTGCAGTGAGCCAAGATGGTGCCACTGCATTCCAGCCCAGATGGCAGAGTGAGACCTTGTCTCAAAAAAGAAAATAAAAGAAAAAAAGAGTATAGACATGTAAACAGACCAGAAAGGAGCAAAAGACAGACGAAAACTGATTTGTTTAAGGCAGGATTTTGATTGAAGTGTTTTTCTCCTTCCAGAGTCTGAATGTTCAGACATCATTTTGTCATTTAAAAAGTTTTCAAATAAACTTTTCCATTATCTCGATATGGATTATCAATCTGAATTTACTCCAAACAACTACCAATTATATTCTGGGGGCCACCGTACCTTGCCAATAAATGGAAATGTGCTTAAGAAACACACATTAATTTCAATAACGCTCAAAACGAAACCTAATTGAAAGCTGAATTAGCATCCAAATACAAACATTAATTTTTATTTGCCCACTGTGGATTATTCAACCACAAAAAAATGACAGATAAATTGAGACATGATTCTACTGTCCAGGAAATCCTGATAGTGTATTACAGACGCCAACAACCGAGGACCCCGAGATGGGAGCATTCCAAGCATGCACTGTTTGACAGACTGCATCCATCACAGCCTGCTTAGGATACTGGGTGATCAAATGCAGCGTAGTTGCCCTCTCATCTTCTCCTGAAGCATCCAAACCCAGGAAGTTAGCTTCCTCCCATCACTCCCAACTCATAGTGAATTTCAGAGCTGGCCACACAGCAATGAAGCTTTCAGAAACAGAAAATCGAGACCAATCGCAGGAATACGTGCCCTAGTTTGAAGCTATGAGCAGAAATTCACACAGACAGATGTAGAAACCCCTCCCTAAGCTCTGTGTGGACTCAGACGTACAGAACAAACTGGCAGAACTGGTGAAGTGAAACTAAGTGCTCAGCTCCCGGGGCTGGCCAAGTGGTGTGAACCCCCATCTAACTGGCCCATCCTTAGCCTTAGGTTGCTGGTCTAAAACATGGGGAGAGTAATTTTGGCCTCCTAGAACCAAAGGAACTCATGGATATGAAGTTCCTTCAGAGGCTGGGCATGGTGGCTCACACCTGCAATCCCAACACTTTGGGAGGCGGGAGGCCCAGGCAGGTGGATCACCCAAGGTCGGGAGTTCGAGACCAGCCTGGCCAATACAGTGAAACCCCATCTCTACTAGAAATACAAAAAATTAGCCAGGTGTGGTGGCAGGTACCTGCAGTCTCAGCTACTCAGGAGTCCGAGGCAGGAGAACTGATTGAACCCAGGAGGTGGAGGTTGCAGTGAGCCAAGATCACACCCCTGCACTCGAGCCTAGGTGCGACAGAGCGAGACTCCATCTCAAAAATTAAATAAAAAATAAAAAATGAAGTTTCTTCATAGTGTGCTAAAACAGTGAGCGTCCAACACAAAACGTTACCTTCTTTTCCCTGCCTACATCTACAAAGAGAAAAAGAAAAAAATCAGCTGCAATAATGAATTTTAAAACTTTCCAAAGGGATCTGCTTTTCTCAGTGATCAGGTGTCTGTTGTGGGAGGGCGTGCTTACTGGGAAATTTCAAACCTTTCTAACACGACCTTCCAGTAAACAACTGGAAATAACCTAAATGTCCATTGATAGGGGAGTTGTTAGGTAACTATCATCTGTTTGTGGAAAGAGTGGGAATCTAGCAGGACTGGGGCCTTTTTATTCCTAGATATCCTGGTGCAGACACGGCACCAGTATGAAAAAGCAAGACCAGAGTATGCGGTAGGGTCCCTTTCAGGTGAAGTTTTTCAAAGGTGACACATCATGGTGTAAACATGACTTTTCCTGGAGAGATGCCTAAGAATATATTGGCATCTTGGGGGAATAAAAAAAAGCAGTGACACTGTGTACACACCCACACAAGCACACTTTTATTTTTTAGACCTTGTGGTTTGTGATTTCTAATCATGTATACATATTAACTTTATTTTAAAAATTCAGCTGGGCATGCAGCTCATGTCTATAATCCCAGAACTCTGGGAGGCTGAGAGGGGAGGGTTGCTTGAGCCCAGGAGTTCAAGACAAGCCTGGGCTACACAGTGAGACCCTGCCTCTAAATACATAAATATTTGGACATTGGGGTTATGGGTGATTTTTGCTTCCTTTTATTCTATATTTTAAAAACCTGAGTTTTTTTTTTTTTTTTTTTTTCTTAATGCTAACACCAAAACATCACAGTTAGCATGGAGAAGCTGTTAAGAATTTGGCTGGGAATTGTGGGCAGAGATGTGTGGCCATTCTGCTGCTCCTGTCACCCTCCTTCCGGCTGCTGTCCTCCCCAGAATGCTTGAATTGCACTGGACAGTCCAGGATCCTCCAGTCTGAAGCCCCCAGGAGAAGGGTCTCTGTCCCCGCTCTCGCCACTGTGTTCCCAGCTCTACTCCTAGACCAGAGCAAAGGCCAACAGGCTGCTGCTGAGTGAGCTCATGGCTATAGGAATGAATGTTTGCATGAGGCTGTGCCCAAAGGGAAAGACAGAATGATGAAAAAGGAGAAGAAAGGGAAGGGAGGGACGGAGGGGGAAAAAAGCCGAACACTCTTAGGAGCTAAACTTAGCACAATGAAAGAGCAAGCTCGCCCAAACTAACCAGAAGCAGAAAAGCCCGTAAGAAATCAGAAGGCCTTTGCGTTGATTTTCTCACAAAGAAAGAACACAACACGTGCCCCAGAGGAAAGTATTCCCCAAACAAGGTCTACATTTCCCCAATGCCACAGGTTTAGGTTTCACCAAGCGCTCATCTCCCAGGTGCCTGAGGCTGGGCTGCAGGAGGAGCTCGAACAGAAGGAGGCTCCCTGCTGACTGCAGTGAAACACAAGGAGCCTTGAGCTCTGCAGCTGGATATTTGGGCTGGCTTCTGGGGTCATGGCCAGCTGACAGTCAGCAATGACATTTTAGAGGTGCCCCAGGGCCTAACTACTCCCTAAGTATCTGTACCTGCCTGCTGGTGATGGATGTCTTCCATCAGCCTTGAACCCCTTCACCTAAAAAGTTTTGGTCCTTGCTTTTTCAAAAGGCAAATACTTTGGGGAAGGAGACTCCCCAGGGATCAGTCTTTCAGAGAATAGAGG